GGGGAATTAAACAAAACGAACAAACACAGTTTGAGCAAGGCTTCAAAGGCCTAAAGTATGACAGCTGTCTGACTTGGCCACGCTCAACCATGATCGCCTTTTAGGCTGACTCAACCACTGGTTCTCCTTGAAGGACTCTGTTTCTGATCACTTCCCATGGTTACCACCTGTAAGTCGGTACGTCTTTTCAGAACTGGCCCCATTCTTTTACCATGATCAAAGTCACCCCCTTTTTTCTGTAGCCTATTTTAGTAGGGGAACCCTCCAAAAAAGGGTGAGAAAGGGCACTTCTGCGGGACCTAGTCTCTCTCTCTATCTCTCTCTCTCTGAACATGGCTTGGTTGCTGTTGACGCCTCTGCAAAAAGTTGATCACTGTTTGTCGGTATACGGAATATCCACAAATTTGAAACCGAACAAGAAAAAGTCCAAAGATTCGTTACCAAGTAGCTATAAACATGGGGTTGTTGGGAAACATTGACTGACTTCGCGGTGCTTTTGCCGGGAGCCGAGGCGTCCCACATCTTTTGTCAGGGTGCCGAGAAGTAAGCATCGATAAGGCCGTTCATGGTAACATCTGCTGCTGACTCGGTGGCATCTGGCTCCGCCACCTACGAATTGGAGCCACGGCGCTCGAAATGGCTGTGTCAAAAATAGGGTAATCCCCAAATGGCTTGCCCTAGTAAGTGGAAACATGGACGATTTAACCTGTGGTCCAATTCCTGGTGGTTTCATTTTGACCCATACCCAAATACTTGTTCCCCCAACAGGACACAGGACACTTCGCGAGCTTCCCGGGACTGTTTTGCAGAAGTCTAGCAAGTCCTCCACGTTTTTTCCAAGTGAACCATACTTAGAGGGGCAGGGAGCTTAGTAAGTGGGTAATAACCATGGTTATAACCCACTTACCCGGGTTATAAGTCTCCGTTCAGTGGGTTATCTCGCCAGGCTTACTAGTCACTTACTAAGTGCCCGATCGCCCCTCTAAGTAGACTAGTGGTACATTTGAACCAAACCTCATGTCACGTGGTTTCAACATCCAGTTCATGTTGACCCGCCAAGTGCGGTGGGACTTGGCCCAAGCTCAGCAAAGGGCACGTTCAGAGAGGAACTTGAAACGGGGAACCGTTTGGCTACAACCTCCCTTTGCCAACCAGCCGGAAAGAACATCTAGTTATCATTCATCACCATCTTGGTCACTGGTGACCCCTCTGCGCAAAGTTTAATTTGTTGCGGGTCCAATGGAATATCCACAAAGTGTTCCGACAAGTCAAAGTCCAAAGATCCAACCAAGTAATTAGGCATAAAGTAAAGTGCAGCAACACTTCACGAGTCCCTCTGAATTGTGTTCCCATGTCCCTCCCTAGCTTTTCCCTTTAAGTACCACCCGACCACACGGATATCTTGAATTTGACGTGGCCCAACATGTGATGTTTAAAAACACAATCAAGGGGGACCACAACAAAAATACCTTTAGCTTTAGAGGCACCACGATAACAGTACTTAGGCAATCAGGGTGTCGTACCTCTATGATCATTTCCCTTGGTTACCTACTATAATCTTACTTGCCCAAAGGACATGGACATAAAAGGTCAAGCTTTTGGTGCCATGACTAACACCAGACCAACATAGGAACACCAAGAGCTCAGATCCGGTCGATTCCTTCCACGAGCTTAAGCCCCTTGGGAAAATATTTCCAGTAGTGATGGATTCCAAGAAGGGGAAAATACAAGAAACAACTTAAGCAAATGGAAGATTCGCTTCGGACAAGTGAGAACCACCTGCTTCAAGGGGGGGGATCGTCACAGGATCCTGTAAATCAGCAGGCTTGCCGGGGAAAAATCGATCCTTTGAGGGATCCGAATCTATAGCCAGGCCATCGTTTTGAGGGATCCGAATCTGTAGCCCGTGGATTCCCAGAACCCCATGGATTTCCGCATGACAAGAGCGTCCTCTAAATCGAGGTCACAGAATCTTCCCGAGTCAAAAGTTGATCAATCTACTGCTGGTCTGCCATTGATATGATCGCCACGTTGGGAGATTCCGATGGGACGTGGAGAAAAAACAAACAAACACAGTTTGAGCAAGGCTTCAAAGGCCTAAAGTATGACAACTGTCAACCTTGGCCACGCTCAACCATGATCGCCTTTTAGGCTGACTCAACCACTGGTTCTCCTTGAAGGACTCTGTTTCTGATCACTTCCCATGGTTACCACCTGTAAGTCGGTACGTCTTTTCAGAACTGGGCCCATTCTTTTACCATGATCAAAGTCACCCCCTAAGTGGTGGGCTAAAGGGAAACAACCACAATTGATTGACTTTGATGCCCCCTCATGACCCAGTCGCGCGTCCGAAGCCCGCGGGCCGCGCCTTCTGCCGCTCTCGCGCCTCCGCAGAGCGCGTGAGCGCCAGGAAGCACGCGTCCAGCTTCTCCACTGCGCTGGCGCGGGCTCGCACGTTGATGCTGCCTCGGCTTAGCGTGTAAAACACAGTCCCGACAGCAAGCCGCCGTGGATGTTTGTTTCGCCAATGGTCTCTTTTTTTTCATGGGACCCCAAGGGGGGCCATGGGCTATCCCTTGTTAAGGGTTTATCCTTGGGTTATCCTGAGCTTATCCAGGGATAGCCCCCTGATTTTTGGCGCGTACTTAGGTCTCTTTTTGAAGCTTACCTAGGTCCTCCAGCAGAGAGGTTAGAATAAGGGTACCAACTTTTCTCCGGTCTATTTTAGTAGGGGAACCCTCCCCCAAACAAATGTAAAAGGGCACTACTGAAGGACCTAGCTACTGAGCCATAAGCCTAGCACATCGAGAGCTATGGTTGTCAAGCGCCCCGCCAAAGCGCCGCCTGTGGCCCCCCCCATTCCGAATAAGAGCTGGTGTGCCTACTGGGCTTCGCGGGTGGGTTTCTTGCAATTCTCTTTGGTCCCTTCGCGAGGGGTCACCCTGGCTACTCAAAAGTTGGTACTCTGAGCGCTTCTTCCCTCTCAAACTGCAGGGCATGCTTGCTCCTGCTGGTTTTATGATTGTCTCCATCGGGTTCCTGAACCAAAGGTTTGCCTTGCAATGACAGGCGTTTTTGAGTAGGGTCTCCATCATAAGGGCTTACTCAGAAGAGGCTTAAAAAGGTTCCCTGCATTGCTCTGCCTATGCCTCTCTGTATTTGATTAATGATGCCAGAAGAAAAAAAACAGAAACATCGTATCGTCCCTTTTAAGGGGGGGAGGAGGGGGCTTAACAAGGCCATAGTAGGGAAGGACCTAGGGTGTTGGGAACGAACCGTTTGGGGATTCCCTCCAAGGAAACCACAAAAAATAGCTTATGGAGGTCATTCCATTTCTCATTCCCTGTTCAGAACCAAGTAATTTGGGGCAAACACTCTCCATAGGTAGCCATAGGTCCGTAAGCCAACCCGGCCATGTCTCGCTCCCTGCCTATCGAACTAATCGAACTAATCGCCGGCGGGGGACAAATAGATGGCCCTGGTCAACAGAACAAACCCATCTGCCGCAAACCAGCGCCTTCGATTTCTTAACTAACCTAAAATTAATGGACACCTATGATCCCAAGACTAGGCCCAGCGTCTGATCTGTTCGGCCCAGTCGTCCACCTCCGCCTCACTCACCGACCGAAGTACCGCCACCATGTAGCCGTACTCGGCCTGAGGCAGGGTGACTGCGGAGTCTCCCGTCAAGGTCAAAGCAGGGTACCTGCCTGGCCATCCAGTGCTCCCATGAGAATCCACTGGGGGTCTCAACAGAAGAACCCAACAAAAACAGGTGTGGCGACGTCTGGGTTTCACATCATGGTTCCCACTGCCTGGAGTCTCCTTCTGACCCTTAAAACATGGTTGGTCATTACCCAAAATAATGGTTGGTCATTGACCCATTTCTATTTCGGGTCATGGAGACTCCAGGTGCAAACATTCCAGGATTCACTTATAAAACAAGTCTGAACTTGTCATGTGCCACTAAAATTGTCTTTCCAAACAAAAAAAAATCCCAAGAACTCAGGGAGTAAGGGATTGTTTTTGTTACTCCTCTCCAGAGCCACTGCACCCAAGAGAAAGTTTGAATGTGTAGCAAGTCTGTACCCACTGCATAATGTTAACACACACACACAAACAAACATTCTTTGGTGCCCTTGGAACTGCTTTTGCCTCCGACGACTTAAGTTACCAATTTCCTCCCATGCAGATTATCATGGATCCCCGAACACATGCATCTGTAGAGGACATTCCTTTCGAACTCGGGGGAAACTTTTTTCGTCGCATGTTTATAGCTTAGTTTGCACTGCCCAACTCCACCTGGAGTCTCCATAACAACGCACAAACAAATAGTCATTACCGCAAATAAAGGGGTCATGGCCCATCACCATGGCCTGGAAGGGACATCGAGACTCCAGGCAGATATTGTTCTCACCATCATTTAGCCAAGTTTCGAGAATCCCCCAACAAAACCGAACAAACACTAAGTCAAAGATGAGCGGCCCCCCATGTTGGCCCCGCAGTACAGTGAGTCCTATGAGAGGAAGTGACGAACCCCCATGAACACTTGACCTTTCGGGTGCTGGGAATGAGGCTGGGGATTCTCACAAGGAAAACCAAAAGGGATGTTTTATGGGGATCATTCCATTTCTCATTCCCTGCATGTTGAACCAGTTAGAAAAGGGGACACCACCCAGGTTTCTTTTGTCCGAGGTTCTCTTGAAGTACATTAGCAGGTTGGACCCTGCCTGAAGTCTCCTTCTGACCCTATTTTTTTTAGAGTTACTACCCAAAATAAACTTACCTGTGAACGAGTGGACTGGCCCAACAAAGTCTAAGCTGTTTGTTTGCCACGAAAATGGTCTTCCCAAAACAGCAGATTCAAGTTCAGGACCTCGGGGAGTGAGCAAATGGGTCATGACCCCACAGTCAAAGAGTCGTGGAGACTCCACTTGGTGGACGTTGGAAAAGGAGCAAAAAATCAAATGTTAGCAGTTCAGTGGATTTGGATCTCAACCGCTAAACCACAACAAGCAAAAATGCAACATGTTTCCCAACAACCACCACTAGGTCCTCCGGATTTGAGAGGTTAGAATAAGTTGGTACCCACTTTTTTCTGTGGTCTATTTTAGTAGGGGGTTCCCCTCCCAACCAAAAAAAGTTGGTGAGAGGTCGGGCACCAATTGCTGGGGGACCTTGGGGTACCTAGACTCCATGTTCAGGCGCCTGGCCGATGTTTTTTCCTCCGGCCTTCTCGACCGAGAACTCGTCCCCGCGCGCTTGCCACAGGCCAGTGGACAGCTGGCCCGCAGTGCCCCCCATGACCGCCACCGCCTGCCCGACCGAAAACCCACCGAAAACGATTAGGCCCCGACCGGTACCTCAGAGCCTCAGGTGTTCAAACTTTTTGGAAAGACCCGTTTTTGTGGCACATGACAAGTTCAGACTTTGAAGTGAATCCTGGAATGTTTGCACCTGGAGTCTCCAAATCTGACCCTTGAAATAAACATGGGTCAGTGACCAACCATGATTTCGGGTAATGACCAACCATTTTCTAAGGGTCAGAAGCTCGCTTCCTGAGTTGATTGGCCAAAAAAAGTCCAAACTTTTTGTTTACCACCAAAATGGTCTTCCCAAAAAGTATAAAGTCCATGAACTCAGGGAGTGAGGAAGGAGACGCCAGGCAGATCCCTTCGTACCTCAGAGTTTCGCAGCCGACGAAGCTATCAGGTTTGTGCGCCTGCATGACCAGATTTTCGCAGGTTTGAGCATTTCATTGATACATCCACCTATCTGAACTCTCCACCCCATGACCCTTCAAAAGTGGCAATGAGTCGTTTTTAAAGATCATGGAGGCTCCAGGCACCAAACCAGGATAAGTGGGGATATGTTCCCTTTTTTCGGTAATGAGTCTTTATTGAGATGTCTGTGTAAAGGTCATGGAGACTCCAGGTACCAAACCGAAAACTATTAATATACATAATATGTATGTATATGTATGTGTAAATATAAATATAATATATGGGACTTGGACCCTCTGGTATGACCAACGATCTCGGAGTTGTCTTTCACAGCATTCCCGCTTCGCCCCATCCCCTGGTTGCCCACAGAACGAGAAGCTCATAACCCTATGAGATTCTTTGTCTAGGGGGTGGATGGAATGAAGTTTGGAACCACTGCCGAGAACAGATTATCTGACACGACAACAGGCGGCGTCTGTGGCAGATGTTCAAACTATCCAAACCATTCATGCTTGCTCATTTGCTTGAGCCCCCTTGGAGAAAAACAACATATTTCCAGTAGTGGTAGAAAGCCTTCTTGCAAAACAGAGTCTTTACCACCAGAATCATCCAAACAAACATGAAACGTTAAAAACACCTCGGGGATTCCCACCTGGTCACCCACTATAACGGCTGGCCTGGAAGCACTGGGCTTTGATAGCCACAAGGGCAGTCCCTTCATTGCCCTGATTGCCTCTGTAGGATTCGTTTCGAACTCCGAAACCCTTTCCAGGGATCTTTATCTCCGGAAACGTTGACCACGGAGCTGGCCTTCGCCAAAGAACAGTGGGTTGAACGAAAACCCACGTTGACCACGGAGCTGGTGGGAGCTTTCTTTCCGCCAAAGAGCCATGGGTCAACAGAATGGTTGATTCGAATCAACCCCTCGGAAAGTGAAGTCAGGGCACCACGCAGGAGCCCTGTGTAGGTAGGTAGGCCTGGCACCCTTGACCAGAGTTGCAACACTCACTTGTTTCAACATGCTTAAGCCATGTTTAAGCCATTGTCAAAACCTCAAGGTTAGGGGCCCGTTGGTGTTGTCGACTGTAGATGGCCTTCCACTTTTGGGTTTCCACTGTGAACTTCCTGTGTTTTTTGTTTTTCGGGAACCCATTGTTTTTTTCGTTTGAAGCCAAAACAGGGTGGTTGTTTCCCTTTTGAAGCCAACAAGGGCACCCTCAAAAATGAGGGGGCCACCCACCTGGCTCCGAGGCTCGGGTTTCACCGAGCCTTCGCCGTGTCCAGGGTGTACACCGGCCCCACCTTCTTGGCCAAGGGCAACACCTCGGACGCAGATCGACGTGCGCAAACATACGTGGCGTCTTCATGGATTTGGGTTCCCTGGAGGCTGCTGACCCTTAAGAACTTAACAAAAACTGTTGCTCAAACTAGAGGGAGTGGCCCGAGGTTCGGAGGGACAGCCATCGCTTTTCCGAACTAACAACTAGAAAAGCTCTGCCCACAATATGGCGGTGGGTCAAAACTAGGCACCCAAATTGAGACAGTAAATGGAACCAAGGACTCAAACCTGCGGCCCGATTCCTGGTGGCTGAATTTTGACCAATACCCATACGGTTTGGGGGACTTCCAGAGGGTTCCGGGGCCAACAAGGGGATACCTGGGCTTCTTCAAGCCTAACAGCGCGTCATTTTGCCCTTTGCTCCGTGGATTGGCTGGAAGAAGTATTTTTTCTTGGGACACTTGAAGAGTGAGAAGAAGGTGTCCACCCCCAAGATAACATGGTTGGTGCTGTGGATGGACCAAATCCAGTTCGCACCACGAAAGGAAACCTCGGGAAACCATTGTTTGTATTTACAGGGCAATCCTTATCCCAGGGTGTCTTAGGTGGTGCGAAATGGATTTCGTCCATACAGTATGTGCCATTTGCTTGGCTGCGTACTCCGATTTACTCCGGGGGGGGTTGGGGGTACTGGCAAACCTCTTGGATAAGGGACCAATCACGTTCCGTTGGGTGGACTCCCTTTTGGTTCGTATTTCAAGGGACGCCAGAAGCAAGACAGCCATTTCAGAAACACACACTAACAAGCAGTTATATGCCCTTGATCCAGCGTTTTGGCTGGGGTGTCGAAAGAACTGTGGGCAAGACCATTGCCATGGTTCCCTGCCGGAGGCCTTACATGAGTTGTCCTTCTTCCAGTTTCGCTAAACAGACCCAACCAAGATCTTTGCAACCCTTGAAATGGTAGTTAAAAAAGCGCTGTTTATTTTTGCAGGCCCCTACTACAAATGAGCAGAACCGAACAACCGCAAAAAAAGACACAACAACTAACACAATCATGGCCACAATCAATGTCATGTCTTCGTTATTACCCCCTCTGCACAAGTTTTTTCACTTTGTGCGAGTCTTTTCGACCCACATCATTTGGGAATATGTGTCCCCTAGCCAGTTCAGGGGATTCTCTATTGAATTTCATAGCGATACCCATCGCTTCCAGTTGCCACTGCAGTAGGCGACAAGATTTCTTAACTCCTATTTTTACATGATGGTTTCCCCTGGATACCTACTATGGTGGTAACTGGAAGCGCATGGGTGCCTTTCTTTTGAGGGGTATTTGATGGGTACGCTTTTTGGGGCTGATAGAAGGAGAACCCTCCTAGCAACTGGCGCTCACGCCTCAACCTCCCAGACTATCCAGCCCTGCGCCCCTTCCCGAAACTGTCTGAGCTTAGAAGAAAGGTCGCTTTGGCTTTGTCCTACCCATGGGGGAAAAGGGAAACCACGCAATTGGGTTCCCCTATTTTGAGACAGACCAATGTCGGCCGTGGGTCAAAAGTAGGTACCCAAAATGGAACCCTGGTAGAAGGAAACATGGACTCAAACCTGCGGTCCAATTCCTGGTGGTTTAATTTTGACCCACAGACCAATGTATGAACTCATTCATGGCAATGGTTTCTTTTGGGGCTGGGTGCCCACAGGAAAGAGAAAAGCCAAGCGCACGACTGGTCAGCGCGCCCTGCCCTGCATTGTACCCCACCCTAGACCGGAGCCGCTGTGGCATGGTGTCCGCACTCCATGGGATCATGCCTCCCTACACCCATTACCAGGGAATGATGGAATAATGTCGACCCTTCACTAAAAAAAGGTGAGTTTTGCCCCTGAACAATCACTAAAAACATGGTATTTGGTCAAAGCTTGATTGAACTACGGTTGCAATGGAAACCTCGGATCCTGGTGAATTCTCATCGGGGGGTGTCCCTGTTTAGTTGGGAGTAATGACACTCTTGAAGGGGAACACCCGCCCTATTAATCAACCACCTGGAGTCTCCTTCTAACCCTTAAGAAATGGTTGGTCAATACCCATACCAGGGCCAATGATCCAATTTTTAAGGGTCAATGGAGACTCCTGGCAGGAAGTTCCCATTCTGTGCAAACATCCTCTCGTTCGGGGGGTCAATGGTTACTCCGACCGGCCGGTGCGGTGATTGAGACTCGGAGCAAGCCATGGATCTGTGAAATGGCGCCAAACGTTGTGAAAAACAACCGCCTGGACTCTCAAAAAAAAGAAAGGGTCATCTCTTGCAAAAAACTGACTCTTTTTTGCAGACCCCACTCAAAATGAACAGAACCCAAAAACTAAAACACCAAAACAGATGCTAAGAACAGTGCAGGGGTTCTTGCCCCCAAAAGACACATGGGCGAACTCTTATCTTTACAGGTTTGAGGCTTTTCACCCGTTTCCGCATCCAGGGAAACCAATTCGGACGCTGGGCGCCAAGCCCTAAAGTCGGCGTCTACGCCCCGGTGTCGGTTGCCCCGGCAATTCGGTTTCGGCTTCGAGGCGCCTGGCGCAGCAGGGGGTCGATGGCGATGAGCTCCTGGGGGTCGCTTTTGAAGAACCGGAGCTTCAGCTTCGTGGGGAAGTTGGAGAGCACCGACACGGAGCCCACCGCGTACCTGGCGAGACGAGAAGACTTCGCGGGAGTTCGCTTCGCTGGCGAGTTGGAGGTCGATGGATTTTGCAAAGGGGGGAGGACTGAAGCTGAGGCAAAATCAATTGAACGTTTGATTCGGCAAAACAAGTGACCCCTTCAAATTGTCCAACCAGAATCGCTTGCATTTGTAGACATGGAGGGTCACAAGGAGGCTTCAGGCAGTTAGTTGTTTTTGTACAGCCAAGCCGAGCTCTCCTCAGGGGCCATAACAAAAATCAGACAAAGCGATAGACTGCTCACTTCCCAAACGAGTGCATCGGTCAGAAGAAGTAACCAAACTTGTTATTTATCACGAGCCTTTAAAACATGGGGGGCATGACCCTTTTTGGGTAATGATCAATTATTTGTTGAAGGGTCATGGTACCGCTAAACTGGTCCGAAAGAAAATTCAAGTCCAGCAACTTAGGGAGTGAGACATATACCCAGAGCCTAGTTCCATACCCATCCTTTTTCTCAGAGCCCAAGACGAGGTCCAAAACCAATGGGATCCCTATGAGTCCGAAAGAGGGAACTCTAAACATCATGTTCCTTTTGGACCTTAAAGCCTTGGTTACCTATGCAGGGAAATGGAGTCGGGCATTCCAAAGACTTGGTTAAAGTGGACTGGTGGACAGACGACCTTCCACCTGTTCTTCGCGCTTAATTGGGTGCAGTGGGGTTGTGGACTTCCTACGATTCTTGTCAGTGTGCAATCAAACCCAGTGCTTTCAGGCAAGCGACTGCAGTAGGTAATCGATCGATGTGGCTACATGAGAAAACCCCTGGTTACTTGCCATAGTGGCGAAACGCCTGGAAGCACTGGGAAACACGAAGGGTTCTTTCGCACTCCGTTCGTTGGCACCGTCTTCTGGAAAAAAAGGGGAAAACTAAAGGATCATCCCAAAACCAACGTATCCATGTATGTCAAGTACTTTGGCCCCTTCGCCCTGAACATGCAACATCAGCTGTGACAACATCGGCGGGGCTGCTCCCTTTTGGTTCCCCGAAGAAAACCACGGGTGGGCTGATTCCCTTTTTGCTTCCTTCAAAGGGTTTGGCTACAGGACAATCCAAAACACCCTAAGCAAGCGTTTTGCCTCCTCCAGTAGAGAGGTTAGAATAAGGGTACCCTCTTTTCTGTAGTCTGATTTAGTAGGGCAACCCTCCCGCAAAAAAGAAACGGTAAAAGGGCTCTACTGGGGACCTAGTCTACCTAGATCCATGCACATCAAAAGGCGGATCTCCACAACTATTTCCGGCTGGGACCGCCTCTTGCCCTTCATCTACACCGGGAAATTTCAGCAAGTGGGTCCCCAAAAAAAGAAACGGCAAAAGAAACGGCACGACTGGAACACCTAGTTGTGGTTTTTCCTTTCACGGCGCTTCGGACTCGGCGCTTCGGACTTCGCGCCTCGAGAGGTGCGCCAGCACCGAGTGCAGCTCGTCGGTGCTGGCGTTCAGCTCCCTGGAGGCCAGCTTCTCGTCTAAGGCCACGCAGTAGGGCTGAAAGCCTCCCGGGTTTTGCAGGAGGACCCGGCCCCGTTTTGTTTTTTTTCTCCGGGGGGGCGGGGGAAGAAAGCCTTCCAGCGAAAGGAGCTCGAGCCGGTCCCCGTTTTGTGTTTCTTCTCTCCGGGGGGGAAAAGGGGGGGGGAGGACCGGGGTCTCGTTTTTGCTTATTATTATTTTGTTGGCGGGGAGGGCATTTTTTTCGGAGGGGGGGGGGGGGGGTTGGGTTCCCACTGTTGTGTTTTGGATTGTGTTTGTATATATAACTATATATATATATATATATTCGGGCGAGTGTATTCTTATTGATCTGTTTTTTGTCAAGCGGGGGGAGGAACACGGAGTCCCACTTTGTGTTTTGTTTTGTTTCTTTTGCTTCTAGTAGGATGGTTTGTTTTTATTTTGTCTTGCATTTGTTTGGGGCCTTGTTTCCCGTGTGTTGATTTCGTGTTCTGTTAGTTCGTTGCTTTGTTGGTTTGTTGGCCTGGCCGACGGCAAAACGGATCAGAAAGAAACGAAGCTCTTGCTTTGATCAGGGAAATCCACCTCTCCCAAAGGGTCCCTTGGTACCTCATATTAATTCACGAATTCTGAACTGGGCCCAAAACCATAAATGTGGGATACCAAGGGACACTCTGGGTGTGTGACTAGAAAGTGTAATATCTGCTCTTTGTGTGGTGTTTATCTAAGGTTGTTTGTCCGAGTGTCCAGGAGTGCCAAGACCCCAAGTAGCCATGGACAAACACGGGAGCGTAGTTGATTTCAAAGAGAACTCCAAAAAGGGAGAAACATAGGGCGCCACTAGAGGTAATTGCTGTGGATGGACGAAATCCTGCACCACCTAAGAAATCCTGGTTTCTGATGATTCCCCTGAAAATACCAGCAAACAATGGTTTCGCATGGTTTTCTCAAAGAGGTGCGAAATTGATTTTGTCTATTCACAGCATGGGAGTGGGGCTGTCTCCGTGTAGCAGCCTCCTTCCTCGAAGTCTTCCGGTCGGCCACCAGCAACAACGAGCGCTTCTTTGCTCAGCGCGTGCCGCGGATAGGTGTCCGAGTTGCCTCAGGCATCGTGGCTGGCGCGATGAATAACCCGTGCCGGCTCACGTCCATCCTCACTTGGCCAACAGGCGAGAGATTGAAGCAGGGATCGAAAAAACAAATCGGAATGAGAGAGAAACATTTTCAAAACGGATTCTGGGAAACGTGGGATGCCTCTTGACAGCTAGCCCTGACAGGGAAAATCTTATGTATAAGCTAAATGGAAATCTATACCCCTTGGATGAAACACACTAAAACAACAGGCAAAACCACAGAATGCAAGGACACCGTGAGATGTTTGTACGCGAAAACCTGAACACTCCTATGGCTTTGAAGCCACTACTACGGTCCACCAAAAAGAAAAACACCCATCCACCAGGAACCTCCTATGACTCACTTCCTGAGTGTAATGGCAGAACACAAGAAGACGTGTTGTTCCTCACTGAAATACGATCTCCGCAAAAGCATCCCCAAAAGTATAAATGCCAAGCCCAGAGGGTCCAAGTACATCATGAGGATGGCTTTTGGGAGGTAAAAGAAGGGAGTGAGATACCCTGGCCCCAGATCTCGACCCTTCTCCTTCCATGGAACCCACGGAACCCACGAGATATTGACCAAACAGCAGAATCAGCAACAACGGCACAAGCAAACACCACGAACACCAACATGGCTCCGGCAACCAACAGCAAGGGTCATCAGTCCTTCCTTTGAACCGCGTTGGCGACGAATTCCCTTTCAAACCAAACACGTCCAGCCACGTCCCTGCAATCCCTTTTCTCCAAGTCACGAATCAAACTCATCTTCGGCAAATCTGCTGGAATCATAACCCTCTGGAACTCAGTTACCCATCTAGGCAGGTCACCGTCGAATTGCCTTTTCGTTGTTTTCATATCGGGTGGCGTCCTTGGTTATAAATCTCACTGGCTGAGTGGATGGCCCAAAAAAAGTCCAAACTTTGTATTTGCCACTAAAATGGGCTTCCCCAAAAGTTTAAAGTTCATAAACTCAGGAAGTGAGAAATGGATCCACCGGGTAAGTCACCCAGCCGAAAGCTGCAAAAACACGACCCGCTTGCAAAGTTCAGGTTGGTATCCCTCAGCGGGTTCCAACCCATTCGGGTGGTGTCCCTTTGAGAAACTGCATATTTTCTCACTTCCCAAGTTGACTGGCCAAAAAAAGTCTGAACTTTTTATTTACCACTAAAATGGTCTTTCCAAAAAGTTTAAAGTCCATCAACTCAGGAAGTGAGTTTTACGAAGCCAGGGGGGAAACCAACGGCAAACCCAGTGCGTTTCGTTGCCACAGTACGGAACCAGAAGCTATGATTCAAAACCGAGGCAGCCATACCGAAGAGTTAGCTACTATTGTGCGAACTGGAACCACTGGGAAATGGACGTGACCAATGGGTTCCTTTCGGATGCAGATTTTGCTTCGCAGCTTCCTTTCGCCCCTTGGGCCTCCGAGCCTGCGGTTGCCATGGGTACAGCACCCAACCATAGGTGGCCTTTGGGGAAAGATAGATGGCCCTGGTCACTAGAACAAAACCCAAGTGCCTTCCATTTTTAATCAAACTAACCTAGAAAGGACACCCATGAATCCAGCATGGTCATCCATGTCCTGCTAAAACCCCATCTAAACCAGCGCCCTTCCATTTTTAAGTCAAAGTAACCTAAAAACGGCACCTATGCACCCAACATGGTCATCCATGTCCTGCTCGTATGCGATCTGTCCCTGAAACTAGGCAGGCATTAACGCTCGAGACCAAGAACAAGGACATCCGATGGACTGTCACTCCCTCTAGACCTCCATGAGCAACGGGATATGAATCAACACAGCTAGGGGAACCATAGGATGGTTCATGTACTTCAATGCACGTGTCTCTTTCTTTTAAGGGACCCCCCCCCGGGATGGTGCACACTTAGGGTCTATTTTTTGCAGCCTGATTCATTTAGGGCATTGGCTTCTTAAGATTCTTGGCTGCAAAATATACTGGCAGTGCCCCCCCCAAGCAGGTGGTCTTCCTTTTGGCTTCCCTGTAAACCCTTTAAAGCCACCACAAAAGCGGTACCCTCAACAAAAGGACAGACCCTAACGCCAACCCCTGGGCCAAGTGCGTCCTGCATGGGAAGACAAGTTGTGCGTTTGGGACGCCCAGGGGAAGGTCTTGCATCCCCAAAAATGCTTTGTGTCGAAAACCCCAAGACAAGGGACCCTGTTCATCTCTCAGGACCCCCCCCCCAAAAAAAAAAGGAGAAGAAAAAAAAACACAAACGGAAAACGGAACAATCATTTCCAACAAATCCCCCCAAGTCGATGTACTCAATCCCCAACAAATAGAGGAACCTGGTTTCCAACTTGCAACTCCTTTCGGGTGGGCTTAACAAAAACCCCAAGTGGCGATCACCACTTACTAACTTGGCCGAACATTCAGGATCGTTTCAACCGACTTAGTAAGTAGGATATTGCTGTGGGTATAAGCCACCCGAGTTTCCCAAGTCATAACCTTGGTTCTACTCAGACGGAACTGGGGTTGATGACCTAGGTCCTCCAGTAGAGAGGTGAGAATAAGCCCTCCCACCCAAAAAAGGGGTGAAAATTGGGCACCTAGGGGGACCTAGAAGCTGAAACCGGCCGACCGCGCCGCGCCATCCGCGCTTGCCCAGGTACCCAGCAGCGCTCGAAGCAGCGTCCTCACCACCGAGCTCTTGGTACCACCCCCGTGGCCACCGCTCTCCAGCCAACGCATGGCCTGGTAGTCCTGCAGATAAAATCACTGACCAACGGAAGCACACGAATGTGATGTATACATACTGTGGATGGACGAAATCCTCTTAGGCACCACCTAAGCAACCATGAGACAACTTTGTTTGTTGGTATTTACAGGGGAATCAACATTCCAGGGTTTCTTAGGTGGTGCAGGATTTCGTCCATCCACAGTATGTATACATGTATATAGCTATCTCTCTCTATATATATATGGCGACAGGCCCTCCAGAATAACTTTAGCTTCTAGCACGCGCCTCAAATGACACACTAATAACAAAATATAATAGTAAATATATAATAATAATATTAACAAATACAAACACAATAATATAATAATATTAAAAAAAATGAAACATAATGTAACATAATAAAATAATATAATATAATAATAAAATATTAATACAATCGTACAACCATGAGAGCGTGCCAAAGCTCTTTCTGAAGGAATGTTCCCGGAACAAAATGTACAACCATAGCTCTTTGTGAAGGAATGTTCCCGGAACAAATCGTACAACCTTGTGAAGGAATGTTCCCGGAACAAATCGTACAACCATGCGAGCGTGCCATAGCTCTTTCTGAAGGAATGTTCCCGGAACAAATCGTACAACCATAGCTCTTTGTGAAGGAATGTTCCCGGAACAAATCGTACAACCATAGCTCTTTGTGAAGGAATGTTCCCGGAACAAATCGTACAACCATGAGAGCGTGTCAAAGCTCTTTCTGAAGTAATAATATAATAACATAATAATATAATAATATAATATAATAATATAAAAAAACAAAAAACAAAACATAATGTAACATAATAAAATAATATAATAATATAATAATAAAATAATAAAATAATAAATAAAATAATAATATTAATAAAAAAATAATAATAACAATAATAATAAATAATATAATATAATAATAATAATAATAATAAAATAATAATAAAATAATAATAATAAATAATAAATAATATAATATAATAGTATAATAATAATATAATATTAAAAATAATTTAAAATATTATATAATAGTATTTAATAAGATAATAAAATAGTAATACTATAATAGTATAATAAGCCTATAATAATACATTAAATATATAATAATATGATACTAATAATATAATAATCTCGTAATGATATAATATTATAATTTAATAACATAATAATAATAAAAAGACAATTTAATATTTTTATAATAATACAAAATGTAATAATAATAATAATAAATAATAAAATGATAATCATAATATAATAACTTAATAATAAGATTTGATAGTATAATAATAGCAATATATAATAAAATAATAATGTTTGACTGGGGCGGTCGCCTCCTTCAGAGTAACGGAGGCATACAAAGGTAGGCTCATCTCCTTATAAGGGGAATCGAGTATAATGGCAAAAGCCTGCTTGACTGCAAGAAATACATTTCGAGCAGGAACGAAAGTTGGTCATAGTGATCCGGTGGTTCTTTGTGGACAGGCCATCGCGCAATGGATAAAAGGTACGCCGGGGATAACAGGCTAATGATCCTCTAGAGCCCCTATCGACGGGTTCGTTTGGCACCTCGATGTCGACTCATCACATCCTGGAGCTGGAAATATAATAATATAATAACATAATAATATAATAATATAATAATAATATAATAATAAAATAAAAATATAATAATATAATAATAATATAATAATATAATAATAATATAATAATAAAAATAATATAAAATATTATATAATAGTATTTAATAAAATAATAAAATAGTAATACTATAATAGTATAATAAGCCTATAATCAATACATTAAATATATAATAATATGATACTAATAATATAATAATCTCGTAATGAATATAATATTATAATTTAATAACATAATAACAAAAAAAAGACAATTGAATATTTTTATAAAATACAAAATGTAATAATAATAAATAATAAAATTATAATCATATAGTAATGTAATAACTTAATAATAAGATTTGATAGTATAATAATAGCAATATACTCACAAAATAATAATATAATAATATAATAATAATATAATAATATAATAATAACATAATAATATAATAATATAATAATAATAATATAATAATAAAATAATAATATAATAATATAATAATAACATAATAAAATATTTTAAAAAAAAATAATAAAATAATAAAATAATAATATAATAATATAATAATAAAATAATAAAATAATATAATAATAATATAATAATATAATATAATAAAAAAATAATAAAATAAAAAAAAAAAATAAAAAAAAAAAATAAAATAATAAAATAATAAAACAAATAAAAAAAAATAACATAATATAATAATAAAATAATATAATAATAATATAATAATATAATAATATAATAATATAATAATGTAATAATAATATAAGAATATAATAATATAATAATAATTTAATAATTTAATAATATAATAATAATATAATAATATAATAATAAAATAATAAAATAATAATATATAATAATATAATAATAATATAATAATAATAATATAATAATAATAATAATAATAATAATAATAATAATATTATAGCATCATAATAAACATACAATAATATAACAATGTAATAAGATGATACAAATAATATACTAATTTAATGTGGTAATATAATCAAACAAACATAACAATATAATAATATACCGGATTGGAAAAGAATCGTATACGAATAATATGTTTGTGATGCGCACATTTCACATATTGACTTTGTATACGTGTCACACATTTCAGATATTTCAGATATTTCAGATATGTCAGATATTTCAGACATCTCAGATATTTCAGAAATTTCAGATATTTCAGATATTTCAGACATTTCAGACATTTCAGATATTTCAGATATTTCAGACATTTCAGATATTTCAGATATTTCAGATATTTCAGATATTTCAGATATTTCAGATATTTCAGATATTTCAGATATTTCAGATATTTCAGATATTTCAGATATTTCAGATATTTCAGATATTTCAAATATTTCAGATATTTCAGACATTTCAGATATTTCAGACATTTCAGATATTTCAGATATTTCGGATATTTTGGATATTTCAATCATTTCATTGAAATGTTCAACATAATTGAAATATCAGAAAAATCTCTGAAATCTCTGAAAAAATATATCTGAAATATCTGAAATATCTGAAATATCTGAAAAAATATCTGAAACATGTGAAATATCTGAAACATCTGAAATATCTGTTTTGTCTGAAATATCTGAAATATCTGAAATATCTGAAATATCTGAAATATCTGAAATATCTGAAATATCTGAAATGTCTGAAATATCTGAAATATCTGAAATATCTGAAATATCTGTCTGAAATATCTGAAATATCTGAAATATCTGAAATATCTGAGATGTCTGAAATATCTGAAATATCTGAAATATCTGAAATATCTGAAAATATCTGAAATATCTGAAATATCTGAAATATCTGAAATATCTGAAATATCTGAAATATCTGAAATATCGGAAATATCTGAAATGAAGAAATACTGAAAGAAGGAAACCAAAGCAGTAAAATGTAGATCATAAAGGCCTGTTGCCATGTCGCCAAGAGGCACCTCTATGATCTACAATTATGTTGAACATTTCAATGAAATATCTGAAATATCTGAAATATCTGAAAGGAATGTTCCCGGAACAAATCGTACAACAAAGCTCTTTTGAAGGAATGTTCCCCGAACAAATCGTACAACCATGAGAGCGTGCCAAAGAAGGAATTTGTTGCCAAGGAATGTTCCCGGAAAAATCGTACAACCTCTTTCTGAAGGAATGTTCTCGGAACAAATCGTACAACCATGAGAGCGTGCCAAAGCTCTTTCTGAAGGAATGTTCCCGGAACAAATTGTACAACCATGAAAGCGTGCCAAAGCTCTTTCTGAAGGAATGTTCCCGGAACAAATCGTACAACAATAGCTCTTTCTGAAGGAATGTTCCCGGAACAAATCGTACAACCATGAGAGCGTGCCAAAGCTCTTTCTGAAGGAATGTTCCCGGAACAAATTGTACAACCATGAAAGCGTGCCAAAGCTCTTTCTGAAGGAATGTTACCGGAACAAATTGTACAATCATGAAAGCGCGACACAGCTTTTTCTGAAGGAATGTTGCCGGAACAAATTGTACAACCATGAAAGCGCGACACAGCTTTTTCTGAAGGAATGTTGCCGGAACAAATTGTACAACCATGACAGCGCTACACAGCTTTTTCTGAAGAAATGTTACCGGAACAAATCGTACAACCATAGCTCTTTCTGAAGGAATGTTCCCGGAACAAATCGTACAACCATAGCTGTTTCTGAAGGAATGTTCCCGGAACAAATCGTACAACCATAGCTCTTTCTGAAGGAATGTTCCCGGAACAAATCTCACAACCATAGCTCTTTCTGAAGGAATGTTGCCGGAACAAATTGTACAACCATGAAAGCGCGACACAGCTTTTTCTGAAGGAATGTTGCCGGAACAAATTGTACAACCATGAAAGCGCGACACAGCTTTTTCTGAAGGAATGTTGCCGGAACAAATTGTACAACCATGAGAGCGTGCCAAAGCTCTTTCTGAAGGAATGTTCCCGGAACAAATTGTACAACCATGCGAGCGTGACAAAGCTCTTTCTGCAGCAGTGTTCCCGGAACAAATCGTACAACCATAGCTCTATCTGAAGGAATGTTACCGGAACAAATTGTACAACCATAGCTCTTTCTGAAGGAATGTTACCGGAACAAATCGTACAACCATGAGAGCGTGCCAAAGCTCTTTCTGAAGGAATGTTCCCGTGTATGTTCCCGGAACAAATCGTACAACCATAGCTCTTTGTGAAGGAATGTTCCCGGAACAAATCGTACAACCATGAGAGCGTGCCAAAGCTCTTTCTGAAGGAATGTTCCCGGAACAAATCGTACAACCATGCGAGCTTGCCATAGCTCTTTCTGCAGGAATGTTCTCGGAACAAATTGTACAACCATGAGAGCGTGCCA